AGTTTCCTCGAAAAATTACAAGTAGAACTATCACAGGATTCAACAATCCATTTCTGGATATATACCCAAAAGAATTTAAAGTGGGATATTTAAGAGGTATTTGCACAGGCCTGGCCAGCGTGGCTCAATGGTTGGGCATTGACCTATGAACCAGGAGGTCATGGTTCGATTCCCAGTCAGGCCACATGCCCAGGTTGCGGGCTCAATCCCCAGTTGGAGGTGTGCAGGAGGCAGCTGAACAATGATTCTCTCTCATCATTGATGTTTCTCTCTTTCTCTCCCTCTTCCTTCCTCTCTGAAATGAATTAAAAAAAATTTTTTTTAAAGGAAAGGGTGTATGGGAAATCCTATTTCTTAAATTAGGACTCATTTTTAAAAATATATATTTTATTGATTTTTTTACAGAAAGGAAGGGAGAGGGATAGAGTTAGAAACATCGGTGAGAGAGAAACATCGATCAGCTGCCCCCTGCACACCTCCTACTGGGGATGTGCCTGCAAGCAACCAAGGTACATGCCCTTGACCAGAATCAAACCTGGGACCTTTCAGTCCGCCAGCTGACGCTCTATCCACTGAGCCAAACTGGTTAGGGCTAAAAAGTATTTTTTTAAAAAGAGGTATTTGCACACCCATGTTAACAGCAGCACTATTCACAATAACCAAGAGGTGGAAGCAACCTGTGCCCATAAATGGATCAAGGGATAAACAAGATGTGATATACACACACAGTGGAGTATTATTCAGCCTTAATAAATAAGGAATCCTGTCATGTTACAACATGGATGTACCTTGAGGACACTATGCTAAGTGAAATAAGCCAACCACAAAAAACTAAAGTGTATGATTCCACTTATATGAGGTATCCAAAGTAGTCAAATTCATAGAAACAGAAAGTAGAATGGTGGTTGCCAGGGCCTAGGGGTAGGAGAGGAAAGGGGAGTTGTAAAATTTCAGTCATGCAAGAGGAGAAAATGCTGGCGATGTTTCACAACAATGTGAATATGTTCAACATTACTGAACTGTACACTTAAACATGGCTAGAATGAAATTTTTTACCACAATAAAAAATTAACTTTAAAAAATCTCATCACCACCCTGGCTGGTGTGGCTCAATTGGTTGGTGGTCAACCTGTGCACCAAAAGATTGCCAGTTCATTTCCTGATCAGGGCACATGCCCAGGTTGTGGGTTTGATCCCGGGTAGGGAGGATGCAGGAAGCAGCCAATCAATCTCACATCGATGTTTCTCTTTTCTCTCTCTCTCTCTCAAAATCAATACAAATATTTTTAAAGCATATTCATTTATTTATTTTTAAATCCTCACCCAAGGATATTTCTTCCATTGATTTTTAGAGAGTAAGGAGGGAGGGAGGGAGGGAGGAAGGGGTGGGGGAGAGAGAGAGAAAAACATCGATGTGAGACACATCAATCGGTTACTTCCCACACATGCCCCAAGCCATGGCCAGGGATGGAACCTGCAACAGAGATATGTGCCCTTGACTGGAATTGAACCCAAGACATTTTGGTGCACAGGCCAACGCTCTAACCACTGAGCACACCTGCCAAGACCAAACCATATTTCTGATAAGGGGTTAATATTTAAAAATGTAAGGAAGTCAACTCTATAGCAAAACAAACAAAACACCCAAATAAGCTGATTTAAAAGTGGGCAAAGGATTTATATAGATGTTTCTCCACATAAGACATACAAATGACAAGGTTCAGAGAACTTTCAGGGTGGTGAACAAGAAGGCATCCACATATATAGGGGGTGGCATACCCTGAGCAATATGGGGTCAGAAGCACCCGTGCTCAAGACCCTTCCAGACCTTATCCTATATCTCTCTTCACCTGGCTATCGATTTGTATCCTTTAATATCCTTTGTAATAAATCAGTAAGCTAGCAAATAAACTATTTTCCTGAGTTCTGTGAGCCATTCTAGTAAATGATTGAACCTGAGAAGAGGGTTGCGAGAATCTCTAATTTATGGTTGGTCAGAAGCACAGGTGATAAGCTGAACTTGAGACTGGCAATGTAGGGACTGACCCTCTCTCCAGGTAGACAGTGTCAGTATTGAGTTAAAACTATAGGTCACCTAGCTGTCTCAGAGAATTGCTTGGCGTGGGGAAACCCCCACATGTTTGAAGTATAGAGTATTCTATGAGTAATGAGTAAAGGAAAACAAGATGTTCTTTTTAGGTATCTAACACAGTCAAACACATAGAAGCAGAGAGTAGACTATGATATCAGGGGTTGGGAGCAGGGGAAGTGGGGAATTGCTATTCAATAGGTATAGACTTTCAGTTATGCAAGATGATTACATTCTAGAGATCTGCTGTTCAACATTTGTATTTATAGTTAACAATACTGTACTGTACACATAAAAGGGTATATCTCATGTGAAGTGTTATCACAAAAAAAGGAAATTAAAACTTTTGTGAATGAAAGGACACTATCAATAAAATGTTCAGAAAACCTATAAAATGGAAGAAAATATTTGCAAATCATACTTCTGATAATGGTCTCATCTCCAAAATATATAAAGAACTCATAACTTAACAACAAAAGGGAAAACAACCTAATTCAAAAATGGGCAGTCCTAGACGGTTTGGCTGTGGATAGAGCATCAGCCTGTGGACTGAAGGGTCCCGGGCTCAATTCTGGTCAAGGGCACATGCCTGGGTTGCAGGCTTTCAATCCCCAGTAGTGGGCATGCAGGATGCAGCCAATCAATGAGTCTCTCTCATCACTGATGTTTCTATCTCTCTCTCCCTCTCCCTTCTTCTCTGAAATCAATAAAAATATATTTTTTTAAAAAATGGGCAAAAAGGAGCCCTGGCCAATGTGGCTCAGTTGATTGAGCATCATCCCATATACCAAGAGGTCACTGGTTTGATTCCTGGTCAGGGCACATGTCCAGGTTTTAGGCTCAATCCCTGGAAGGGAGTGTGCAGAAGGAAGTCAATTGATGTTTCTCTCTCACATTGATCTTTCTTTCTCCCTCTCTCTTCCTCTCTCTCTAAAATCAATAAAAACATTTTTTCAAATGGGCAAAAAACCTGAATAGACATTTCTCCAAAGATATATAAATGGCCAACAAGCACATGCAAAGATGCTAAACAGTATTAATCAATAGAGAAATGCAAATCAAACAAGATTAAGACTTCACTAGGGAAATGCAAATGAAACAAGATTATAAGACTTCACTAGGCTAACTATAATTAAAACAACAGAAAATGAGAATTGGTGAGGATGTGGAGAAACTGGAAACCTGTGTTGTCGATGGGAATGTAAAATGGCTCAGCCACTGTGGAAAAGTTTCATGACTCCTCAAAAAGTTAAACATAGAAATACCATATACTCAGCAATTCTACTCCTTGGTACATACTAAAGAATGAACTAAAAATACAAATTCGAACAAATGTTCATAGCAGCACTACTCACAACAGCCAAAAGGTGGAAATAACCTAAATGTCCATTAACTGATGACATGTAGTGTACTCATACAATGGAATATTATTCAGCTGTAAAAAGGATTGAGGTACAGATGCATACTATAAATTGGATGAACCTTGAAAACATTATGCTAAGCAAGACATACACAAAAGATCTTTTATTATATGATCCCATTTACTGTTTTATAATTTTAAAAAAATGTTTTAATTTCAGAGAGGAGGGGAAAGGGAGAAAAGAAAACATCAATGATGAGAATCATTGATCAGCTGCCCCACACTGGGGATCAAGCCTGCAACCTGGGCATGTGCCCTGACCAGGAATTGAACCATGACCTCCTGGTTCATGGGTTGATGCTCAACCACTAAGCCACACTGGCTAGGCGTATGATTCCATTTAAAATATATATTTTATTGATTTTTTACAGAGAGGAAGGGAAACATTGATGAGAGAGAAACATTCATCAGCTGCCTCTTGCACACCCCCTACTGGGGATGTGCCCGCAACCAAGGTACATGCCCTTGACCGGAATCGAACCTGGGACCCTTGAGTCCGCAGGCCGACACTCTATCCACTGAGCCAAACCGGTTAGGGCACGTATGATTCCATTTATATGAAGTGTCTAGAGTAGGCAAATCCATCGAGACAAAAAGTAGATTAATGGACCCTGGCCTGTATAGCTCAGTGGCTGGAATGTCAGCCTACGCACCGAAGGGTCACAGGTTCTATTCTGGTTAAGGGCATGTACCTGGGTAGCAGGTTCAATGCCCACCCTGGTCAGGGTGCATGTGGGAGGCAATCAATGTGTCTCTCTCATATCCATGTGTTTTTCTCTCTCTCTCTCTCTCTCCCTCCCTCCCTCCCTCCTTCCATCTCTCTGAAAAATCAATGGGAAAAATATTCTCAGGTGAGGATTAACAGGGAGAAAAAAGTAAATTAATGGTTACCAGTAGCTGGGAGGAAGGGGAAATGGGGAATGACTGCTTATTGGGTATGGGTTTCCTTTTGGGTGATGAAAATGTTTTGGAACTAGAAAAGGGTAATGGTTGCAAACACTGAATGTGCTAAATGCCACTAAATAGTATACAATTATGGTTAATTGTATGTTATGTGAAAAAAAAGGGCCTGGCCTGGTAGCTCAGTTGGTGTCTCAATACACCAAGGTTGCAGGTTCGATCCCGTCCGGGCACATACAAGAATCAACCACTGAATATATAAATAAGCAGAACAACAAATTGATGGTTCTCTCTCTCCCCCTTCTTATCTCTCTTAAAAAAAGGAAGAAGCCCTAGCTGGTTTGGCTCATTGGATAGAGCATTGGCCTGCAGACTGAAGGATCCCAGGTTCGATTCTGGTCAAGGGCACATGCCTGGGTTGCAGGCTCAATCCTCAGTAGTGGGCGTGCAGGATGCAGCCAATCAATGAGTCTCTCATCATTGATGTTTCTCTCTCTCTCTCTCTCTCTCTCTCTCTCTCCCTTCCTCCTTGAAGTCAATAAAAATATATATAAAGAAAAAAAGCAGTAAGAAAACCAGACACACAAGGTATAAGGTATAAGCAAAAGGTATACATTTACAAACCAAAAGTTCCCAAACTAGCTGGAGGTAGCAAGTATAAGCAGTTCCTTTAAGTGCCCAACTTTACTCCTTATAGAAACATTGAGTACCAGCTGAATGAGGTCAGTTCCTACTCCATGGCTTCTTCCAACCCAAGAAGTAATCCCGCCATAGGCCACAGCTCTCAGTCCTCTTGCCAGTCATCCTGTGCCCAGGTAGGCATGGGTGAAAAGTACTCAAAACCTGGCCCTTTATAGCGCAGGGCGTGCAGAAACATCACAAGGTCCTGGGGCAAGGGGTCCTGTCGCACCAGTCGGCACTCTGCACAGAGGGGGTCTATTTCTTGATTCACAACATCTGTTTCAGCTGCATTCCCTGGTGCCAGGGCCTTTGTGTCCAGATCCTGAGGGGCTGCCTCAAGTACTCCACCCATCTTCTGAGCAGATGCAGCCAAGTCTTCTAGGTGGTCCTTGCCCAGCTCTGAGGAGGGAGCTGTAGAGTCTGTGAGTCCTGGGGACAGATCACCTTCACAGAGATCCAGCACGTCCAGGCTCTGTTTGGCTTGGTGTTCTGCAACCAGGTCCCGCAGCAGTTCCTCATCTGTCTTGGGAATGTGGCCACCTCGGCCCCGGGAGGGGCCCCAGGCCCCTGAGTTGTAGATGGGGTCATTAAGGATGGGGTGGCCCAGGAACTGGAGGTGGACTCGGATCTGGTGAGTGCGACCTGTGAGCGGCCGACACCGCACCACACTGGAGTGGCCGTTGTAGCTCAGTCTCTGGAACACCGTCTCACAGGGTTTGCCCCGAGTATCTACGCGGCACACCCCTACCTTGTAAGACACTACCAAGATGGGTTCCTTGCAGGTCACTTCCTCGGAGGGGAACTCCCCCTCCACCCGGCAGACATACTCCTTTTCCAGCTACACAGGAGGGAAGAGGGAGAAAATCAGCACAAAGCCTAAACTCATGAAGCCCAGACCCACTGCAAGTGGTGAGGAATGCAACAGTGCCAGGCAGAAGAGGATGCAAACCCCACCGCCACCATTTGCCAGTTTCAGGATTTTGAGTACATTACTTAGCCTCTTTAAATACCATTAACTTGTCTAGAAAAAGTAAGATTAGAAAAGCATTAACCTCAAAGGGCTGTTATAAGGATTCAGTAAGTTAGGCTCTAATGCAGGGGTCCTCAAACTTTTTAAACAGGGGGCCAGTTCACTGTCCCTCAGACCGTTGGAGGGCTGGACTATAGTTTAAAAAAAAACTATGAACAAATTCCTATGCACACTGCACATATCTTATTTTGAAGTAAAAAAACAAAACGGGAACAAATACAATATTTGTATTTGCATGTGGCCCGCGGGCTGTAGTTTGAGGACCCCTGCTCTAATGTACTTGCTACTTAGTCTGATATACAGTAAGCACTCAATAAATGTATCATAATCAGATCCAGAATTACAAGTCTCAAGACCACAATCAGTACCACTTAATTATTCTACCCAAGCCTCTTCTAATTTCATTCACAATCTTTCCACCAACGAGGCTCTCCCCAAAACCTTGAAAACCTTGCTCAGCCTGTTGGCACTGTAAAACTTCAAAAGAACTGCCCTGGCCAGTTTGGCTCAGTGGAAGGAGCGTCGCCCTGCGGACTGAAGGGTCCCAGGTTCGATTCCGGTCAAGGGCATGTACCTTGGTTGCGGCACATTCCAAGTGGGAGGTGTGCAGGAGGCAGCTGATTGATGTTTCTCTCTCATTGATATTTCTAACTCTCTATCCCTCTCCCTTCCTCTTTGTAAAAAATCAATAAAATATATTTTTAAAAACCCCAAAAAACTTCAAAAGAGCTAACTACCAAGATAGGCAGTGTATGCCATCTCTAAAAACCTCTTGAAACATAAGAGATAATAACCTGTTTTGGGTACTTTAGGTGTTGACCTCCCTGAAGGTAGAAAGCCTGGCCAGAAAAATACGAAGGCCCACTTCAGATAGAAGTCAGTGTTGCCCTTTTGACACAGCATTTGTGAGCCCAGAAAGTGACCTGCGTGAAACAAAAGCCAGGCTCACCTGCCGGTCCCGAACTTGCTCATGTATTCTCTCTGAAACAGCTGCTGTCTTGGCAAACATGAGGACCCCCGAGGTAAGGCGGTCGAGCCGATGCAGTGGGTGTAGCTCCTTAAGTTGGTGCTCCTTGCCCAGGATGAAGATCACCGTGTTGTGCCGGAAGCGGCCACAGGGGTGGACAGGAATGGAAGAGGGCTTGTCTACAACCACCATGTCTTCACTCTCAGCCAGCAGGCGGATAGGCTCTGCCGTGACTGGTGGCTCATGCCTGTGCACTGTGTTCCGCAAGAAGTCATTGTCCTGCCGATGACATAGGCAATTGGTCAGCCCAGGGACTAGCAACCTATAATCAGTCAACCTCACACACAGCTTCCTCTCTTATTTATTGACACGAAAGAATGGTCAAAGTATAGCCTTACACAAAAAGCGGTATGCACAGTGCATATTCATTTTGTAAAAATGCAGACAGACAGATAGCAGGCACTGAAAAAGAACTAGAAGAATAAGGCACAAAAAGGTTAATGGTACTATCTCCAGGTGGTGAGATTATGGGTGGTTTTTTATTTTGCTTATTTGTATTTTCTCTACAATAACGTTATATCTAAAGATAATTTCACTGAACTTCACTAAGCCTTAGTTTCCTTATCTATAAAATGTGACAGCTAGACCAGACACTTGCTTTTCAAAATTGGGATGGGAGAGAGGATTCAAGCCACTCATTCCCCAAATGTTGAGATCGCCTTGTCTCCCCTCACAACCTGGTGAGCCAGGGGTGTCTGGTACCTCTTAGCTGTGAAGGAATTTTAAAGAAGGGTCAAAAGCACTGGGCTAGACAGCTCTAGTCTTTATCCCGGGCAGTTCACAATTCTATCATCTTAGTCTCTATAATAAATAATTTAAGTAGTTATAACAGCACAGGCTTTGGAGGTGGCACTGTTGCCTTACCTCTGTGAGGTTTACCTTAATTTAGTTTCCTCACAGGTAAAATGAGGTGGCAATACCTACCCCACAAGGCGATCGATAAAATTAAATGTTAGAGACATAAATGATAGCCTCTCCTGTACTATTTGTACAGAGATCCACAATGCAAAATAGAACGTGACCAATGTCCGTGCCAGTGGCACAGACGGCACAAGAATTCCAACTTCTATGCTTTGGAAACAAGAAAACAGTGTTTTTGAAGCACTGAGGCTACTTGCGGCGATGGGGTGGGAGGAGAGGGCTTTGAGACAGTTTCAAGTGAAAACGAGAAAGCCTCGGAATTACCCCGATTTTACTCCAGTACCTATGGCCACTAACTCAGGGGGAAAAAATCCCTGCTCCTTTCCTGGTCCCCTTCCGACCGGCCCATCAGGACTCCACCTTGAGCACGATGCTGAGGTCTTGGACCGGCTCCTCGTTAAGGCGCAGGCGCCCCGCTCGGACCGCGGCCTCGTAGTAGGCCAAGGGCTGGGCTCGGAACTCGGTACTGAAGACGTGCAGCAAGCTGCGGCCCACCCAGCGGCCTTTGCAGTAGGTTCGGAAGTCAAAGTAATAGGGCCGCACTTTGCGCAGGCCGCCCTCGAAGTAGTAGCTGGTCTCTGCAAAGTGCTCATCGCCG